CCTGGCCAGTAGATGGAACATACATATCTTTCGGGCGAATTTGTTGTCAACTCGGAAAAACGGCCCCGCCCGACAATAGCGGAAAATAATTATAGTTCGGGCGGTCCGACGACGAAGACGAAGACGAAGACGATAACGAGTACGTGTGCGATTGCGACTACGACAGCGATGCGACGACGAAGACGAAGACGCATGTGCGCGGCGCTAAGGCGAGAGCTGGATTTTTAACCACACCAGCCCTCGTTCCTTGTAACTGTTACAAACTTTCAAGACGAGAGTGCGCGGCGCTGAGACGAGAGCTGCACTTTGAACCACACCAGCCCTCCATCCTTGTAACTGTTGCAAACTTTCAGACGAATGCGCGCGGCGCTGAGACGAGAGCTGCACTTTGATCAACGTGCGGCCTCTATCCTTGAAACTAATGCGAACTTTTAAAGCCAGAGCGCACGGCGCTAAGGCGAGAGCTGCACTTTGAACAACATGCGCGCTCCATCCTTGAAACGGTTGCCAGCTTTTAAGACGAGAGTGCGCGGCGCTAAGGCGAGAGCTGCATTTTGATCGACATGCGCCCTCCATCCTTGTAACTGTTTTCCTCAAAGCACCCGTCTTACGAACGTCCTCTAAAATCCTCACGCGTGTAGGGTTGCCCATGCGGCACTATTCCCTGGGAGGAACAACCCCCAGACAACAGCGCCCGCGCGAACAATAGCGGGCAAATATTTTGTTTTCGGCCGCGATGGTTTCAGAATCCTTTCAAGATGGCTCATGATGGCTCCAAGACAACTCCAAGACAGCGCGAACAGGAACCACTTCAAGAATTCCGAACAACAATTCTACATTACAACCGTCTTACGAATGTCCTCAAAAATCCTCACGCGTGTAGGATTGCCCATGCGGCACTATTCCCTGGGAGAAACAACCCCCAGACAACAGCGCCCGCGCGAACAATAGCGGGCAAATCTGTTGTTTTCGGCCGCGATTTTGTGTTCGAACCACAGAATTGAAGCTGTTGCAAGCCTTTAAGACGAATGTGCGCGGCGCTGAGGCGAGATCTGCACTGTGAACAACACGAGCCCTCCATCCTTGAAACTGTTGCAAACGTTTATGACGAATGTGCGCGGCTAAAGCGAGATCTGCACTTTGAACAACACGAATCCTCCATCCTTGAAGCTGTTGCAAACTTTTAAGACGAATGTGCGCGGCGCTGAGGCGAGGGCTGCACTTTGAACAACACGAGCCCTCAACCCTTGAAACTGTTGCAAGTTGTTAAGACGAATGTGCGCGGCGCTAAGGCGAAAGCTGCACTTTGAACAACACGAGCCTCCATCCTTGAAATTGTTGCAAGCTTTTAAGACGAATGTGCGCGGCGCTAAGGCGAGAGCTGCACTTTGAGGAGGAGGAGAGGTTTTGGGAGCGGGCGAATTTCGGGACGAGTTTATTCACCGCGGGGAGCTCCAGGGGAGGGGGGGGGGGCCAAAACTAAAGACGTAATGAGGTTACTCCTCCCCCCTCCTCCACCTCCTCCCCCCATCCCTTTCTCATCCCTCCGCACCCCCTCCCCGTTGCGCCCCGTCATCCCTATCCCGACGCCGGCGCGGCGAGGGTCGGGCGCGGTCCGTCTTGCGGGGCAGCCTTTTCCAATTCGAAAATTGTTGTGCGCGGCCGACGCCGCAGTCGTCGTCGTCGTCGTCGTCGTCGTCGCCGCAATCGTGAGATCAGCTCACTTTCAATGGGACTCCCTATGGGGCCCCGAAAAGGGTAGGGGTGTGCCGAAAATGGCGTGCCGCCCGCATGCGAACTGCACCACTGGGACCGTCGGTGGAGCTCCCTACGGAGATACGAGACGTGTGAGGGGTGCGCCGAAACGGGCGCGACGCCCACATGCGAACTGTACCACTGAGACCTTCGGTGGAGCACGTGATTGGGCCACGAAGCGTGTGAGGGGTGTGCCGAAACAGAGACGATGCAGGGATGGGAGGAGGGGGGGGAGGAGGAGGAGGAGGAGGAAGGAAGGAACGCGGGGCGCTGTCTCTTCACGACGACGACCCAACAACACAGGATGTATGCAAAAAACTGTCATCGTCGTCGTCATCGTTGGGTGTTCGATTGGGAAGGGGATGCCTCAAGTGAAACGCGCCTCGAACAGAACCAGCCTTTCTCGGCAAGACGGAAACGTCCCATCTCCCTCCGTTCCTCTTGCCACCCTCCTCTGTTCTTCCTTCCTTCCGTTGTCTTCCCATGGGCCGCATTCCTCCTTCATTTCCTGTACGTTTTCGGCCCATCATTCCTAGTTTTCTTCGGTCCTCCCGCGCCCGCCCGCCCCCTCGCCTTCGTCGCCTTTGTCGCCGCTTTTTTCTCGACGAAGCGGCGACGAGGTCGGCGAGCAGATCGCAAATCCAGCTGATTCCAAACAGATGCCGATTGAACTTGAAGGGGGGTCTCACCGGAGGTCCGTGCAAATCGCATGTGGGCGTCGTGCCCGTTTCGGCGCACCCTCACGCGCTTCGTGGCCCCACAGGGAACTCCGCCGAAGGTCTCCGCGGTGCACTTCGCATGCGGGCGTCGCGCCCGTCGCGGCGCACCTATCACACGTTTCGTGGCCCCGTAGGGAGCTCCACCGGAGGTCCCATTGCTGCAGATAGCAGATAGCACGTGGGCGCCACACCCGTTTAGACAAACACCTCATGCGTCTCGTGGGCCCCATGCAGTTCGCATGTGGGCGTCGCGCCCGTTTCGGCACACCGCTCACACGTTTCGTGGCCCCATAAGGAGCCCCGCCGAAGGTCCCATTGTTGCACTTCGCACGCGGGCGTCGCGACCGTTTCGGCGCACCTCTCGCACGTCCGTGACCTAGGGAACTCCACCGAAGGTCCCCGTGGCGCAATTCGCACGTGGGCGTCGCGCCCGTTTCGGTACACCCCTCACGCGTTTCGCTGCCCCGTAGGGAGCTCCACCGAAGGTCCCAATGGCGCAGTTCGCACGTGGGCGTCGCGCTCGTTTCGGCGCGCCGGCGATCCTCGCAGCTGCGGCACTCACAACTGCATCTGGCCGCGTCCTTCGCCGAGGTTTCTCTTCGCACACTCGCACTGCTCACCGCGCGCGCAGTGCAGGTTGTTTTCTTCGCGCCGGGCCCCGCCCGACCGCGACTGGCCCAGGCCGCGTGGGGCCGGCGCCTCAAGAACGAGGCGGGGGCCCAATTCAGACGCGGCCGTCTCGAGATAATCGAGATGCTGATTCAGCCGCTGATCTGGGCGAGGGACGGGGCCCAATATGTTTAGCGCCGCGTCCGCGCGCTCTCGTGCTGGTGACTGTCCAGGCGTTGGCTGCCCCAACCCACGACGGCGCGCTGTGCGCTCGGGGTCATCTTCTGGGCCAGCTCGTCCGACATAAAAGTGGGCGCCCAGCAGCAGCCGAACGCGTCGTCAGGCGTCTTCCGCTTCTGCTGTTTCTAGCTCTTACCCTCGCCCTGCACGGCGGCGTCGGCGAAACCCATGATCGAGAAGAACCCTGGCAGGGCCCACGCGGCAGCGCCTGCTGAGGCCTCGCGCGCGGGCAGCTGGCTCAGGGCGACCCCCCAGCAGTGGCGGCGAGGACTCCTTGGCGCTCTCGGCCGAGATGCGCAAGGACAGCAGGACGTCGCAGTCGACGAGCTGAAAGATTGTCTTATGCTGCGGCACCACCAGGGCGGGCAACCCAAGGGGGGGCCACTGGTTCGGGCCCCAAGCGAACCCGTGCCTGAACCGCAACGAGCCAAGGCCCACCCTTGCTCTCCATGGGCTCGTCCGTCGTCACGCCGTAGTCCCACTTCTGCTTCGCGTCGACGGACACGCAAGTCATGCGCCCGTGCCGCTTGGGCCTGGCCTTCAGCGCGTTCAAGAAATGATCCATCTTTCCAGGGGCAATGGTCTGCGCGACCTCCGCGCCAAGGCAATCGCCTCGTCGGCAGACGCAGGCGGCTTCGCGTGGAAGACCGCGGCTTGGAAACGTCGAACTGCGCGGCCTCGAACTCGCCGGCATCCACGGTTCCAGCAACGGTAACGACGCGGGCCGCAATGGTATTGGAGATCGGCTCCAGCCACCTATTACTGCAGAAACAACCCGCCAACTTGCTGACCCGGCATCGCCCGGTCATCTTCGCCAAACGCACCGCCCGACCCTTCCCGTTCAGAGTGTAGCTCATGGCCTCCACGGCGTCGTCCCCTTCTTGTCCGCCGCGCTCTTTTCCTCCGCCGAGCTCTTCCAGCGACCGCAATGGTCCTGAGGCCCATCCTTCTCGGCAGGTTTCACGGCCTGCGCGAACGCGTTGATCTTGGCGGCCAAGTCGTCGGGGGCCTTCTGGTCGGCGGCGGGGTCGAAGCCCAGCGTTGCGATCTCGGCTCCACCCAACTTCTCCGGCGAGGTCTGGATCACGCTGGCCCAACTCTCGGGCCCCTTCATCTCCGCGGCGGCAGAGGCGACCTGCGTCGACATCGCCTCATTGAAATGCGAAGCGCCCACCCCGCGCGTGGGCGTGAAGTCCACGGGCGCGCCCGCGGGGAAGGCCGCGGACGCGAGGGCGGCGGCGACCTCGGGACGGCGAGCAGGAGGAGGCTCCTGCTCCTGCCCCCCCCCCCCCCCCCGCCTCATCCCTCCCCCCCATCCTCCTCCCCCTCCTCCTCCTCCTCCTCCTCCTCCTCCCTCCCTCCTCCTCCTCCTCCTCCTCCTCCTCCCCCCCCCCCCCCTCCCCCTCCTCATCTTCCTCCTCCTCCTCCTCCCCCTCCTCCTCAGATCCCTCCTCTTCCTGATTCCCCCCCCCCCCTCTTCCTAGTGGCTCCTAGTGGCTCCGTAGCTGTCCGTTACCGCTGAGCGATAAGGCAGCCCAGAAAACAGTGCAGAGGCAAGGGCTGAAATGGGTTCAGGCGGTGGCGGGCGACCAGCCCGACTGAACAGGCCACCTGAGGGGAGCGGACCTCCCGAAGTTCGCCCGTCCCCCTCCTCCTCGCCCACGTCCTCGTCCTCCACTTCCTTCTCGCCCTCCTGGGCGCAAGGGGGCGACTGACGCGCGGTCGCGTTATGCTACCCCGCGGCGCGCCTGGGGGCCACCCCTGGGCGGCGGGGCGCCCCTGCGCGGGATCCCGGGCTCCTTGTTGCTGCGGTCGACGGGAGCGGGCTCGACGGATGAACTGGGCGAGCGAGCCGACGGGCTGCGCCTCGGGCGCGAGCCCGAGCGGCCCAGGGCTGGCTCGCGCTCGCCGCCTTCGACGGGGGCCTCGGTGACGCGCTCCGCGCGCTCGCCCCCGATATGCAACTCCCCGTCGCCGAGCTCGACCCGAATCCCCGGGTTGCCCTGGATGTCCGCAAGGTCACCCCCCTGCGCCCTCAGCTTATCCTCGAAGTCGTCTGAAGCCTCCTCGGACTGCATGATCTCGCACAGCTTCGCCAAAGCTCTGTACCTCCTCTTGGCCATCTTCCCGACGCCCGTCACAGGTCTGCGCTTAACCTTCGCGAAGGCGGCACGACTCTGCGCGATAGCCTCCGAATGTCGGCGCCCGCTGGCGTCCATCCTGGGAAGCTTGACGTTCTGCTTCCACCTGGAGGGGTCCTCGGCGAGCATCGCGACCCCTCTGCCCGAAGAGTTGTCGCGGGCGCGCACGGCGTTGACGCCGTGGCCCCTGCGGAAGTTCACCCCGCGCCACGCCCTCGTCGCGGACGGCGCCAGCGGGTCGTCGCAAGGGAAGCGCTCGAACATGCCGCTGGCCGCGCCCGTGGCAGACGTGGCAGAGCGAGCCAGGCGGGGGGGCCCAGCGATGGGCGCCACGCGGCAAGCAGACATAGCCTCGACGCTGGCTGCCGGATGCGGTTTCCTTGGAAAGCGCGAACCTCGTTGGAGTTCGAGCCCAAGAGGCCGCTGTACCAGCCCGCGCTGAGATGGCGCAGCGCGGCCAGAGGCCACGCGCATGACTGGCCATAGGCGGCGCTTGCTATATCAGCAATCCACGACGATCGGCGCCTGCCCGAACCGCAGCTCGCCTCGAAAACCATAAACCCGAGACCTCCTAGAGATTCTCTCGAGCTGAAAAGAAGAAGGGGGCCTGGGTCAAAGACAGGGCCAGGGCCCAGTGCAGACGGGCCCAGGACCGAGGACAGGGCCAACCCAGATGGCCAGGGGAAAAGAGGAACGACAACTTCGCATACAAAAGGATTTAGCTGCGCTTGCCCGTCGACGACGGCGACGACGAAGCTCGGGCGGGGGCTTCTGCCCTGGATTTGGACGCCCGAAATGGGAAGGAAAAAACGGGAACAATGGCCAACAACAAATACTGTCCCAAACCAACTGCGGCCGCTGTTGGGCAGGCGGCCTTCTGTCTCAAATGGGCACAGGCCGCGGCGGCGCGGACAACGAGCCCGATTCAAAATGAACAAGACATGCTGTTGGGCATTGTACCCATTCTTTCCGCACCCATGTCGGTCGTCCCGACTGGAGCTGACATCTCCGACTGGCTTGAGATGCCTGGCCAATTTTGGGGGGTGGGGGCGGCGCGTAACCCGCGGCATGTGCCACTGTACGGTTTGCTGGGGCGGCCCACGGCAGGAACGAGAGGGGGCGGAGGCGTGCGGCGAATGGTCGATGGGAGGCCCTGGCGAGCACCGCGTAGCATGGCATATCTGGTCGAGGGTTTGTCCCCCCCCCTCCTCCTCCTCCTCCTCCTCCTCCTCCTCCTCGTCCTCGTCCTCGTCCTCCTCCTCCTCCTCCTCCTCCTCCTCCTCCTCCTCCTCCTCCTCCTCCCTCTTCCCCCTCCTCCTCCTCCTCCTCCTCCTCCTCCTCCCTCCTCCTCCTCCTCCTCCTCCTCCTCCTCCTCCTCCTCCCCTCCTCCTCCTCCTCCTCCTCCTCCTCCTCCTCCTCCTCCTCCTCCTCCTCCTCCTCCTCCTCCTCCTCCTCCTCCTCCTCCTCTTCCCCATGTCTCCACCTTCCTTTTCCACCTCCCAGGGCGAGACCCCTGGGACACATCCCATATGGGGAGGGGGGCGAGGACCTGGAGCCCGCGATCATATGTTACTATGTGCACGTGCAAGTACGGGACTGTTCGCGCTGATTGCGCCGCCACTCTGGCGGCCCGAATGGTGCAATCTCTTGGAGCGTGAAGTGCAGTCTGTGCTGCTGCAAATGCCATTTTCACCTGGTGGCTTGAAACGACTGATGTTTGACCACGGTTTGTGATGCGTGATGGTGCGCGCTGAACGACGCTGCGTGATGGCATGGCGATCCCTGTCGGCATTGCACTAATATCAACTAGCCAGGCTCCCCCACCAACAGAGAAAGAGAGAGAGAGAGAGAGAAACAAAAAGCATGAGATCTGCGCCATGGCGCCTGGCGCTGAGTCCTGAGATGATCACCTCGCATGGCCTGTTGACTGGGCCCAGGAGCCAAACTTGCGCTCCAGTCTGACGGACGCAAAGCAACGGGCGACAGGCGAAGGGTCGCTATGGCCTGGCGCTGCGGGCGGGACAGAGGCGCTGCCGCTGCCGCCTGTCAGCGGCAAGCGTGGGCTTGCGCCCTCGAAGTCTCCGTCAGTGCAAGAATGCATTGGGCTGTGCCCGAACGCCCCGCATCCTTCCCCCTCGCGTTTCGGCGTCGTGCCGTCGAGGCTGCCGTCGGGGTTAGCCTCGGGAATGGAATCACTGATGTCGCCGCCTGGCCCCGAAGCAGAGCCAGCGCCGCCGCCGCCCATGTCTTCGGGGCAGGTGCGGGTCGGAGGGGTCTGAGAGATGTCATCGGCGAAGTGGGTAATCTCAGTGACGTGAGACTTGGTCTGGTAGTGTTTGCCGCCAGAAATCACTTCTATGGACATCTCGACCTCGGCCTCCCCATCTCTCGCGCCGCAGTGGGCATCAAGCATCTCAAACGAAACAGCCCAACAAGTCGGGGCCGACCACGACAGCGAGGAGTGGGCTCGGGTGGACGGTGCCCACCTCGGTATCAACATGAGCGGCACCACGCGTACGATTAGGAGGGGACATGCTCAAAGCGGCGGCGGAGCGGCGAGTGGCGCTGCCGCTTGCCGACTCGGAGAAATTGCTGCGTACATCGCAAGCCACGTTGCTTTTGCAACACTTACTCGCCCCAAATTGAGGGCACCGAGAAGACTGCGCGGACACGGGCAGCGCACAACACTGCAGCGTTCTATCCGCTGATCTCACGCACCGACACATCACCATCATCACTAGTTTCGCGCACCTACTCCCTAGTGGTGCCCCCGATGACACCGGACTGAGACACAAATGACACCGAAATAAAAACGCGTGAACAGATGAGACACCAGCATGAAACCGAACTGACACCAACAATGAAACAATCATAAATTCTGAACGGTCGGTGAGAACAATATGAAACCAACACCAAACCAAACTGAAACCGACATGACATCAAACTTACGCCTACATCCAGCCTGCGTTTTTTTGCTTCGCCCTCAGCCCCAAATTACCCAACGTGCACTGCAGACGCACACAGCATGGCACGCCGGTGTTTGCTTGTTTATAAATTACTAGAAGCACAGCGCGCGCTTCGCGCGGGCTCAAGTTCTAGCTATGCTTGATAGGCTAACCCATGCACTCTCGCTTCTCGCATCCAGGGGCCCTCTTGGAGACCCTGCACAAGCCTCGGAATCGCATAGAATGAGAACTGCGGAAACACAGAAATCATTATGCCCGTTCGGTTCTCGACGATTTGGGATCCTCAAAGGCTTCCTGGGTTCTTATCTGGGTGCTGAGGGCAGCCTTACTTGCGGCCTGTTGTGCGAGAGTAGACAGCGGGGGCGAATGTTTAAAAAGGTAATGTGGGACTCCCTTTTCTCCAACCATCCTGTGCCGTTGTCCTCGCTGGAGAGACAGCGCTCAGCGTTCCTTCCTTCCTCCTCCTCCTCCCCCTCCTCCTCCCCTTCCTCCCCCCCCATCCCTACATCGTCTCTGTTTCGGCGCACCCCTCGCGCGCTTCATGGCCCCATGAGGAGCCCCACCGAAGGTCTCAGTAGTGCAGTTCGCATGCGGGCGTCGCGCCCGTTTCGGCACACCTCTCACACGTTTCGTGGCCCCGCAGGGAGCTCCACCGAAAGTCCCAACGGTGCAGTTCGCACGTGGGCGCCACGCCCGCTTCAGCCCACCCCTAACACGCATCGTGGCCCCATATGGGGTGCCCACCGAAAGTCCCAGTGGTGCGATTTGCACGTGGGCGTCGCGCCCGTTTCGACACACCCCATCACGCGTTTCGTGGCCCCATAGGGAACTCCACCGAAGGTCAACGCGGTGCAATTCGCATGTGGGCGCCACTCCCGGTTCGGCACACCCTCTCACACGTTTCGTGGTCCCGTAGGGAGCTCCACCGAAAGTCCCATTGTTGCAGTTCGCATGTGGGTGCCACGCCCTTTTCGGCACACCCCTCACACGTTTCGTGGACCCCATGGGGAACTCCACCGAAGGTCCCATTGCTGCAGTTCGCATGTGGGCGTCACGCCCGTTTCGGCACACCCCTCACACGTTTCGTGGCCCCATAGGGAACTCCACCGAAGGTCCCATTGCTGCAGTTCGCATATTGGTGCAACGCCCGTTTTGGCACACCCCCCACACGTTTCGTGGAGCCCATGGGGAGCTCCACAGACAGTCCCATTGGCGTAGTTCGCATGTGGGCGTCACGCCCGTTTCGGCACACCCCTCGCAAGTTCCGTGGCTCATAGGGAGCTCCGCCGAAGGTCCCAATGCTGCAATTCGCATAAGGCGTCGCGCCCATTTCCCCGCACCCCTCACACGTTCCGTGGCCCAGGGAGCTACACCGAAGGTCCCATTGCTGCAGTTCGCATGTGGGCGTCACGCCCGTTTCGGCACACCCCTCGCACGTTTCGTGGCCCCGTAGGTCGCTCCACCGACAGTCCCAATGGCGCAGTGCGCACGTGGGCGTCACGCCCGTTTCGGCACACCCCTCACACGTTTCGTGGCCCCGTAGGTCGCTCCACCGACAGTCCCAATGGCGCAGTGCGCACGTGGGCGTCACGCCCGTTTCGGCACACCCCTCACACGTTTCGTGGCCCCGTAGGTAGCTCCACCGACAGTCCCAATGGCGCAGTTCGCACGTGGGCGTCACGCCCGTTTCGGCACACCCCTCACACGCTTCGTGGACCCATAGGGAGCTCCGCCGAGGGTCCCCAGTGGGAAGGTTCACATGCGCCCGCCCGCCTCCCCGAATCGGCACGCCCCTCACACATTTCGTGGCGCCCTGGGGAGTTCCGCCGACGACGATCCCCACGACTGCGGCACTCACGACTGCATCTGGTTGGGCCCTTCGCTCGACTAACTTCATGTTGCAAGGGTTCCAAAACGCCGGTGGGAAAAACACACACACACACACACACGAAAGTCTGTTGGAAAACAAAACACACAGTGGGAAGCAAACACACACTGTGGGAACAAAAACACACACACACAGTGGGAACAAACACACAAACACACACACACACACACACACTGTGGGAAAACAAACACACAAAACACACAGGGTTGTGGCTAATCGCACCAAGGCCGAGCGCGAAAAAACAAAAACCCGATGTTTGCTTCGAGGGCGGGCGCAGAGCCGCTCTCTTTAACTTCCTGCGCGGGAGCCCTCCCGCCCAACCCAGTCGCACCGTTACGCTCCCATCTTGTATACCACTGGTGGTATATACAAGTGACACTCTCTTCCACGCACGGGACTGTCCACCATGACCTCATATGGAGAAAGGCCGAGACCTGCGCTGACTCCTGCGAGGCTCTCGAAATCTTGTATACAACTGGTGGTATATACAAGTGACACTCTTCCACGCAAAGGACTGCCCATCATGACCTCACATAGAGCAATGCCGAGACCTGCGCTGCCTCCTGCGAGGCTCTCGAAATCTTGTATACAACTGGTGGTATATACAAGTGACACTCTCTTCCACGCACGGGACTGTCCGTCATGATCTCACATCGAGAAATGCCGAGACCTGCGCTGCCTCCTGCGAGGCTCTCGAAATCGCAAAAAGGTGCAAGCTTCAGGCTGGCGGGCATCATCGGGGGCTACAAGGACGCAAACCCTCGGACTCGGGAGCGAGGCTCGCGTGGGGGACATCGCTCCCGACGGGCACCTGCAGTGACAACCAGCCTCGAACTCATCCCTGTCCCTGAGATGGGCGAGGAAAAAGCGAGGACAATCTTAGGGACGGGCCCTCAGAAACCGAGGGAATCCTTGAGATCGGCATCGAGGTGAGGTGATGTCAAACATAGGGATAGAGGGATATGTCTCAAACTGGTCGAAAGTGAGGCCAGCCACATCGCCTCATGTCCAGTCGGCGTCCCGCCCCGGGCGCCGGAGGTGCACTCTGGAGCGTGGCCTCCTCCTCCTCCTCCTCCTCCTCCTCCGCCCTCCTCCCCCCTCCTCCTCCTCCTCCTCCTCCTCCTCCTCCTCCTCCTCCTCCTCCGCCCTCCTCCGCCCTCCTCCTCCTCCTCCTCCTCCTCCGCCCTCCTCCTCTCCGCCCTCCGCCCTCCTCCTCCTCCTCCTCCTCCTCTCTCACGCCCGTGCCCTGTGGATACTCTGGGAGACGTGCGGGAACGCAAAGGTGTGATTGGCCACTGGAACTCCTTCGACGAGCGAAACGCGGAGGCTCCAACGTTATCCACGTAATTATGCTGGCGAGGCGAACAAACGCTTGGCCACGTCAACGTTCCATGGATCAACGACCCGGGGCAAGGCGAAAACAATTGCGCAACCGGCAGGCCTGCTGGCGGCACGGAGATCTGCAAGGGTTCTCTTACCCGGCGGTTGGCGCCCACCGAGTGGAATCCAGTCATCCCGTATAGTAAGGATGCGGGATAAGGATGCAAGGGCCTTGGAGTGCCAATTCGAAGCTTTTCGAGCACAACGCGGCCAACGAAACTGGCCAAGGATGGACCGAGGAGGCAAGGATGCAAGGGTACCCTTGGGAAGGTTGCCAATCCTTACTATGCGGGTTGACTGTAGATTGCTCCCACTAAACACTCGCACTCGCACTCGCTCAGCGAAGGCGTTGCGGAGGTGGCGCTGAACCGCCGTCAGCAACCCTCTGTTGAAGCGGTGAACATGTTTTGACACGAGCGGGAATCGCGTGAAATGGAAGAACCTTGTAAGAGCGCGCGACATCACCACGATTATAGGTAGCATATCCGTAATCACGCACGTTCACAAACGACGGTCATGGATACATCAGATCCCAACACTGCTTCCCGGTGGAGCCGGGTTTCCTGGCGGAGCCGGGTGACATTCCGTGCCCTCTGGACTGAACTGACCTGAACTGAATTAATTGACTGGAGAAGCACTTAGCTTAGGGGGCCACATGCGAACCCTACCCCTACCCCCCACGATTTCTGAGGGGCTTCGCTCGGGAGCTCCCGAACGACATGAACCCAACCCTCCCCCTCAGAAATCGTGGGGGGTAGGGGTAGGGTTCGCATGTGGCCCCCTAGCACTTTTGAGAACACATTTCCAGCCGTTAGGGCGCACCCGCAGCCGCAGCTACAAAGCACACCCTTCAACCCACCTTTCAAACCGCCCGCGGGCGCAACCGCAACCGCAACTGGAGGACACACTTCACCCCGCTGGGGGGCACAGACCGCAACCGCAACCGCAAGCGCACCTAAACGACACCTTTCAACCCGCTGGCGGGCGCAAGCGCAAGCGCAACCGCAACTGGAGGACACATTTCAACCCGCCCGCAGGACCGACCGCAACCGCAACTAGGGGACACATTTCAATCCCGCCCGCGGGCGCAACCGCAACTGCAACCGAAACTACAGGACACCTTTCACCAGCACCCCCGGACGCCTCTCGGCTAGGCGCAGCCACTGGTACGCATCCCGAGGCTGGAAAGTGCCGAGGACCCACGAAAGCATCCCCCCTGGGGCCCGAGACGAAGCACGGCGGCCACCCGATGTCTACAACCCGAAGGCGTCCGCGACGGTCTCGCCCGCCGAGGCCCCGCTCAGGAGCCGTCCGCCTGGCAGGGCCGCGTCGGCGCGGCCGAGCCCGGGGCCCAGCCTGCCCGCGCCCAGCTCGCCCGCCAGCCAGTCGCGCACGCCAGCGAGCGGCGCACCGGGCGCCACCCGCACCCGGCAGCGCTCCACCCCGCCCAGGGTCAGGAAGCGCACCTTGCCAGGAAGGGAAGCGGGCCCTCCAGCTTTCCGCTGTGACTTTCGCCTCCCCAGACCCTCCACGGGCCCCAGGGCTGTCAGAAAACGGCTCAGGATGAAAGTCTGGTCCACGGGGGACGGCCCTCGGGACCCGTTTCCTTCATGCCAAGCACCGCGCCGCCGTCGAGCGACGCCTGCAGGAGCAGCGTCGCGCCGACGAGCACGCGCGCGGTGTACGTCAGCGCTCCGTCCAGCGCCGGCACGTGGCACTGGCCGGAGCCATTCGCGCCGACGGCCACGGCCGTGCCGTCGCTCCTGAGCAGCACCGTGTGGCCACTTCCCGCGGCGGCCTGCGCGTAGCTCAGGCCACCGTCCAGCGCCGGCACGTTGCACTGGCCGCAGTTATTCGCGCCGAAGGCCACGGCCGTGCCGTCGCTCCTGAGCAGCACCGTGTGGAGGTCTCCCGCGGCGACCTGCGTGTAGCTCAGGCCACCGTCCAGCGCCGGCACGTGGCACTGGCCGCGATGATTCGCGCCGACGGCCACGGCCGTGCCGTCGCTCCTGAGCAGCACCGTGTGGCCACTTCCCGCGGCGACCTGCGTGTAGCTCAGGCCACCGTCCAGCGCCGGCACGTGGCACTGGTCGTGGCGATTCGCGCCGAAGGCCACCGCCGTGCCGTCGCTCCTGAGCAGCACCGTGTGGAAACTTCCCGCGGCGACCTGCGTGTAGCTCAGGCCACCGTCCAGCGCCGGCACGTTGCACTGGCAGCGGTGATTCGCGCCGAAGGCCACGGCCGTGCCGTCGCTCCTGAGCAGCACCGTGTGGAGACTTCCCGCGGCGACCTGCGTGTAGCTCAGGCCACCGTCCAGCGCCGGCACGTTGCACTGGTCGTAGCGATTCGCGCCGAAGGCCACGGCCGTGCCGTCGCTCCTGAGCAGCACCGTGTGGAGGTATCCCGCGGCGACCATCCGTGGGCGCGGTCGGGAGGCCCGCGCGGGCTCCTGGGAGCGCTCGGGGCTCCGCGAAGGGCCACGGCTCGAGCCGGGGCGACCCACAGGGCCCCCGCCCCTGGATGCCTGGAGGCACCTCGCGCGTGCCCGCGCCCCGTGATGCGCAGCAACGTGAGGGGCAACGAGAGCGGGGCCTGGCTCACTGGGGGAGGGGGGACATCGACCTGGACTCGGCGGCACATCGCGGAGAGACCCGCACCAGGCCCCGACAGTGGAGCCCCATGTTCCTGGGCTGAGGGGCAACGAGTGGGGGCCTGGCTCACCGGGGGGGGCGACGTCGATCTGGGCTCGGCGACACATCGCGGAGAGATCCGCACTAGGCCCCGACAGCGAAGCCCCACGTTCCTGGGCTGAGGGGTGACGAGGGCGGGGGCCTGGCTCACCGGCAGGGGGATAACATCGACCTGGACTCGGCGACACATCTCGGAGAGATCCGCGCTGGGCCCCGATAGCGAAACCCCAGGATCCTGGGCGGCGCGAGCTATCGGGCTCCCGTCGGCGTGCTATGGGCGACCGAGGGTCGATGCATCCCCCCCCCGGAGCCTATCCCCCCAAATGTATCTTCGTCGCCTGGCTCGCGGGCCTCTGGCGGCCGTCGGGAACCATCCGGGCAGCCCCTGGACGCCTCTCGGCTGGGCGCAGCTGCTGGTGCGCATCCCGAGGCTGGAAAGTGCCGAGGACCCACGAAAGCATCCCCCCTGGGGCCCGAGACGAAGCACGGCGGCCGCCCGATGTCTACAACCCGGAGGCGTCCGCGACGGTCTCGCCCGCCGAGGCCCCGCTCAGGAGCCGTCCGCCTGGCAGGGCCGCGTCGGCGCGGCCGAGCCCGGGGCCCAGCCTCGCCCGCAGGCGCAACCGCAACAGCAACTAGAAAACTCACGTCAACCCGCCCGCAGGCGCAACCGCAACCGCAACTAGAGGACACATTTCAATCCCGCCCGCGAGCGCAACCGCAACCGCAACAGCAACCGAAACTACAGGACACCTTTCACCCCGCCCGCAGGCGCAACCGCAACAACAACCGCAACTAGAAAACCCACGTCAACCCACCCGCAGGCGCAACCGCAATCACAACTAGAAGACACATTTCAACCCGCCCGCGGGCGCAACCGCGACCGCAACCGCAACCGCACATTGGGGACACCTTTCAACTCGCCCGCAAACGCAAGCGCAAGCGCAACCGCAAATAGAGGACACACTTCGACCCGCCCGCGGGCGCAACCATAACCGCAACCGCAACTAGAAGACAAATTCCAACCCACCCGCGGGCGCAACCGCAACAACAACTACAAGTCACATTTCAGCCCGCCCGCGGGCGCAACCCAAATCGCACCTAGAGGACACGTTTCGACCCGTCCGCGGGCGCAACCGCAACCGCAACCGCACCTAGAGGACACATTTCAACCCGCCCGCCAGCGCACCCGCAACAACAACCGCAACTAGAGGACACATTTCAACCCGCCCGCCGGCCAACCGCAACTTGAAGACACATTTCAACCCGCCCGCGAGCGCAACCGCAACCGCAACCGCAACCGAAAATGGAAGAAACACTTCACCCTCCTGCGGGCGCAACCGCAACCGCAACTCCAGAGGATACATTTCAACCCGCCCGCGGACGCAACCGCAAACGCAACCGCAACTAGAGGATACATTTCAACCTGCCCACAGGACCAACCGCAACCGCAACTAGAGGATACATTCCAACACGCCCGCGGGCGCAACTGCAACCTGCCCAAGGACGGCCCCGAAGCTCCTCTGAGACCTGTCCTGGTCTCTCCCGGGGAAATGTCCAAACCAGCACTTCGAGGGGAAATCTGGCCGCGACGAGGATAGGCCTCCCGGAGACCCACAGGAAGGCTGAACAAAACTATCTGGGCATCTCGCTCCCCTAGAGCTCCCCCCAAAGACCCCGAAACTAGCTAAAAAACAGATAAAGGTGAAACGGTACACGTCAGTCGGATAGGTAAAAACATGATGTAGGAAGGCGGATAAAGTAGATCGGGCTCAGGCCCTCCCACAGAAGAACAAACAGAGCAAAAGCGGATCGATTCGTAAAGTTGGAAGGCGCTTGAAGTAGATTGGGATCTTGGAGTCCAAAAATACATACTTTTAACGACCAGCGTGGGAGGAGGGACCGGCAAAGGGGGGGGGGAACGTTGACCTCGAATCGGCGATACACATCGCCGATAACGGCGAAAGCACACGTTCCATGGCGGGGTGGGCCATCGGGCCCCTCTCGGCGATCAGTTGGTGATTTGGGGTCAATGCACACCCCCCTGAGCTTGCTGCCCCTTGCCCCTGAATCGTATTCGCCTCCCCCTGGTCCCCAACCTCCTCTGGTGGTTTTCGGGTCATACTTGAGTCTCTGGCAGCCGTTCGGGACGATACGGGCACCCCGAGACCTGGCAGCCGCCGAGAACCGACGAACACTACCGAAAACCTCACAGCTTGAACACCGAAACTTCGTCACTCCCCAACGTGCGTCAATGCATCCCCCCCTGAGCCTAGAGGCTTTCTAGATGGGGTCCGAGTAGATGGGATCGGAGAATCGTACCGCATCGCCGATGCATCGGAAACGTCGGCGACGCATTTTGGCACCGTCGGCGTGGAGAAGGTCGGGCTCCACATGGGGCCGCATCCCCGATGCATCGGCGATGCGGCGCGATCGACCGACCCCGTCTACCGGGAGGCCTGGGCTATCGTTGCTCCTGAATTGAGCAGGGACCGACCGTCCCGGCATTCCTATAGGCCTACCACGACATGCTTATAGAACCCAAACATGCTCTGATGACAAAAGCATGGTTCTTAGAACACAAACCCGATGTGTCAAAGCAAGACAATCTCGGCCAAAAGTGCTCTGAGCACAGGTCCAACAGTCGGTTCTTAGAACATTCTTTGGTGGGCCTATAATGAGGCGAGCCAAGACGCTTTGCCACTACTTGATTGTCTCAAGTCGGGCCTGTCCCCCTGCAGGCCGATGTTTGACGACTTCCTTTTTAAATACCCTAACAAATACTCAAAACATGGTTAGAAAAATTGTCCCCATACTATTTTTTGACTATTTTTGAATATTTCCCCTGTAGAGGGACACGCCCGACTTAATGTTAAGTCGGGCCTGTCCCCCTACAGGGGGATTTTCGACGAAAAATAAAAAATAGCCCAAGAATAATCCAGAAATAATCCGAAAATAGTCTGGGACGATTTTTTCAGCATTTTTAAACCATTCGGGGGGACTTTTGGTGTATTTTTTGTTTTTCGTCGAAAATCCCCCTGTAGGGGGACAGGCCCAACTTAAACTTAATGATTGCCCCTGAGCGCCGCCCTGAACGTCCGGGAGCCGCGCGCCGAGAGCGCCTGATAGCCGCGCGCAGCCGGCGCGGCGGTCAGCGACGCCCGGGCTGGCCTCGGGGCCTCGGCGGAGGGCTCCTCCTCCTCCTCCTCCTGCTCCTCCTTCTCCTCCTCCTCTCCCCCCTCCTCCTCGTGCTCCTCCTCCTCCTCCTCCTCCTCCTCCTCCTCCTCCTCCTCCTCCGCCGGGGCGACAGCACGCATTGGCAGAGTCGAAAGCTGGGCGAGGGCTGCTAACACGGTGGCTGCTAGAAAGGCCCTCCCGGAACAGCTTTCTGGAATGAGGCGCGGCACGCGAAACAGTCAACGGGCTTCTTCCCGGAAGGACGAAGACAGCTTCCAAGAGGTCGATTTTAGCAGCCACGGATTTAGCAGCCCTTGCCCGGCTTCCGACAGAGGCCACTCACGCCGCCACCGTCACAGGCAGCAAACATATCCTTATCAGCATTGGGGCCCGACCACAAGAAACCTTCCTCAGGAAACCCAATCCTGGGACCCCAGGACGTCCATCGGTTTCTGGTGTGGGAACGTCGCGCTGTCCATCGCAAAACCCTCGAAACCCAAAGGGCACCCTGGAGACAAGCAGAGCGTTTTTCTTGGCATGGGCCTCCACTGTATTGACAGAGGCCACTCACGCCGCCACGGTCACAAGCAGCAGACGTACCCGTGTTAGATGCCTCCTAGGACGGGGTCCCGGCAGACAAGGTCGGAGGATCGAGCCGCGTCGCCGATGCACCGGCGATCGGGCTCCGTGTGGAGCCCGACTTTCTCCACGCCGACGTCGCCGACGTCGCCGATGCATCGCCAAACGTCGCCGATGCATCGACGATGCACCGGTGATGCACCGGCGGTGCATCGGCGATGCGGCGCGATCATCCGACCCCATCTACTCGAACGCAATCTGGGAGGCCTAGAATATCCTTTGGGCGCCCGAAATGGGTATGGAACAAATGTGTACAATGCCCAACACCACATGTTGTCCCAAGCCAACAGCGACCGCTGCTGGGCAGGCGGCCTTCTGTCTCCAATGGACACAGGCCGCGGCGGCGCGGACAGCGAGTCCTGCTCAAAATGAACAGGTACTGCTGCTGTGCATCGTACCCATTCTTTCTGTACGCTCCACCAATATAATAAGGATGCGCGGTAAGGATGCAGGGGCCTCGGAGCGCCATGTTCACGTTTCCCGTACGGTGCGCAGCAGAATGCCGAAGGATGCCGAATACCGGAGGGGCAAGGATGCAAGGAAAGTTGCCCCATCCTTACTATCATGGTTGACGGTACCCCATTTCTAGGCGGCGTGCCCAGGGGGGAAATGAGAAGGAGAAGGCCTTCTCAGAAGGCTCGGAAGTTCCCGGGACTTCTGAGAAGCTTTCCAGGTCTCCCCCGAGGACAGAAAGAGCTTCTCAGAAGGCCGGGAAGGCCTTCTGAGAAGTCCCGCCGCCTTCCGAGAAGGCCTCCTCCTTCTCAGCTCCCCCCCTCGCTCGCCTCCGAACTTCGCTAGTACCGATGTCCGCGCCCTCGCGGTTCGGCCTCGGGGGGGAGGAGGGAGGAGGGAGGAGGGAGGAGGGAGGAGGGAGGAGGAGGGAGGAGGGAGGAGGAGGAGGAGGAGGAGGAGGAGGAGGAGGAGGAGGGAAGAGGAGGAGGAGGAAGGAGGAGGAGGAGGAGGAGGAGGAGGGGGGGGCGATCCC